GGTTTATTGTTGCTTAATATAATTGTTATTTTCAACTATTCTTTTTTAATTATTCTTTTTTACTCGTTTCAGGGATTTCAAATCATTTTATATAGTAGACAATGGAAGTCCGAACTAGTGAAATTCATCACGAAACATTGTCAATCACCTTCAAACAAAAATTCCAAACTTGCTTAGTATTGTCCGATTTGCTGACTTCTCCTAGCTGGCTGTTGATTTTTTGTGATTACTAATACAAAATTTCAACGACCCCTTGGTTTCACCAACACAGAACTTGCCGCTCTCAATGGAAAAATGGTAAATAGAATACTTGACTGTTTTTTCAGATCTGAAGTAGGTTCTTCTGTTTTACTTAGATTCTCATACACTTCAAAAGTCCTTTAATAGGAGGAAAAGCATCGGTTGTGATGACTTATCTTCTTTCTGCGGCTCTTGTCTCTCATCCAAGATCTGTTTCACCAGCTTTTTGCAGTAACCATTCTATTGAATGCTAATAAGGCTCAGTACCTTGTCGACATAACCCCACTATTAAGTAGGTTCTCAAAAATTCCTCTCTTAGTAGATTGGTAGATTTCAACCCAATTTTCATTGATAAAATGGTCATGATTAGTGACACTCAATTTTTATTATAAGTTTTTACATTTTGTAGGTATCTTGGATATTTTTCATATGGAGAACAATATATGCTTCTGATACGAATTTTTATGTTGAACTGTCGAATAGATTTCGAATAGTAGATCAACAGTTTTCCAATAAGAATCCAGGAAGGTATTGAAGTAACAATGCTGGTACTCATTGATTTGATCCAGGTTTTGAATAGCTAGAAGAATTTGGTAATTTAAACGTAATTTTGAGAAACAATGGTGTCCTAGTAGTTGACGAAGATAACATGTCCCATCAGACCGCTGAAATTGTTCGTACTGCATCACCATCAAATCGAAAATTCTATTGACAGCGGCGATATTTCAAAAACAAAAATTAGAAATGAAAAATGAGATATTCGAAAATAAAAAGGAGAATAGTGAATACCTGAAGTAGTTGAAACACATTGAGAAGAAAGGAGAAGTCAAAATTATAGAAAATTAAGAAACATGGTCATAGTCAGCGATCGTAGAGCGAACACACGCAATCATACAAAATTGGATAAGAGAACAGTGTTTTTTCAAGGACTACAGGAAAATCTTCAAGGCGCTCTAAGATCGTTGCCTGTGCGGGAGTAGAGATTAACATTGGATTTGAATCGCTAGAGATTGAATCCATCAGGAAAAACGTTTTCAGAAAGTTTATTCCACATAAACGTAGTTCTCCAAATGGAAGACTTCCTGAACAGTGAAGTTTGAGCTGAACTGAGTTGAACCTCAAAACGATGAACAGCCATAGTCCGTCGCGTATTTCTGATATGTACCGCACTTGGTGGAATCAAATGTGCCAAGTCACTTCTATAGATACTTTCACTTCTTCCCGTGAAAGCATCTATAGAAGAGAGACAAATTCCAACCTTTCTTCAATGTTTCAGACAAGTGTTGCAAGGTTGCAAGTGATGTTCGCGTCTGCAATCAGGCGGATAGCTCTTTTCTGGATGGAATTCAGTAGCTTCAAAATCAATCAAAATCAGCAGAAATTGCTTTGTGACCAATTTGGTGAATGTCATAACATCCAATGAGGAGAAAAATGTCATGTTTTTCTATCGCAAGCTACAGATGTGAAGATCGAGTTCAATCAAATATTGACAACTCATATGTTGCTTTAGGAGAAGTGATGATCTGTTGATTTCAAGACATTCCTAACATTTGATGGAAAACCAGAAAATTGGCCCACATTCGTGTACTAGTCCTGAAAATCATCTCTAAAAAATGAATGATAAAGTTACCACGGTGTCTCAGCGAGAAAGCCAGAGTTGACTTCAACCAAATGATGATCAGTCGAGGAAACCAAGAGTTTTGATATCTAGAAATGATGTTTGGCAGACCAGAACAAATTATTGTTGACATAATTGTCATTCAATGAATATTTCCCTTAATAATTCATTTGGAATCAATATGTGCTCATTGCAATTCTACAGGACTCAATAGAAACAGCGTCAAAAGATAGAAACAGATGTCATAGAAACTAGATGGGAAATCGTAACAATCGGAAATCGTATGGTTTTTATATCTTCGTAACAATCAATGGATATCGAACTGTAGATTCGAAAAATCATATGGTATAAATTGTGTGTATGATTACAAATCAATGATCAACTTCGAACCAATCGGTGGTTGCAACAGAAAATGTGCGAGAAAAGTTCTTCTGAACTGAACAACTTCAACAAGAGAGAAAACGATCTAGAGGGCAGTTAACTTCAAATCTGAGAGAAGAGAGAGAAGCTAGAAAGCGCTCAAGTGACCTATGGGTATCAAGAATAGGCCAGTTATCACTTGAGTCTGATTGTGGATTCTAACAGTAGAAACGATGTAAAGTAAAGTATCGACGAATTCAGTATTTCCTATTCTTATAGATAATCTATCATTCAAAAAATCAGGAATTCAAAAAAATATGATTCATTGTGAACAAATCAAACGATGATTAGATTTGAAGATTTCATTTTTGTGAGTTTGGAAATATCTGGGAAATTATGAAGAAGCCAAAACTTAACAAGAAAAGATAACCCGAGACAATTGAGAGTACAATTCAACGCGCTACAAATTATGCGTCAAGACAAAGTTGATGTTGCCTTGGACCCGAAGCAAATGAGTAAATGCGAGTGTTAGTTACGCTCGTCTGCGTTGGCTCATAAGAGATGATATTTTTCAACAACTTTCATCTCAACGCTTAAATCGCGCGTTGAATTGTATTCCCGTCTACATTGGGTCTGGGGCTTATTGTCAATGATTAATATAACAAATCTACCAATGATTCTTATAGGACCGGGAACATTCGATTGATGTTTCAAGAAAAGTTATCTAAAAATTCGAATACTCACCAATCGCAACTGAAACACTACGTTGAATTCTAAATGGAAATGTGGGAAAAAGTCGCAAAAAACCTACAGCTCTCACGTTTGTGGAACACGAATATCAGATGAGAAGCATTATGTTTTGCAACGTTGTTCAAAGAAAACCACCAGATTCCCCGAGCTGAGATATGTTGATGATTACATTACAGATTGAACCAGCAGTCAACTAAGAGAGCAATTGTCAAGACCCTGATTGATCATGCACTTAGGCTATGTAACAGGAAGGGGAATCTCAACAACTCAGAAGTTGCCAAATCAGGAAAGATTTTCTTCGAAAAGGGTGAAATAGACCTTGACTAGGAGACAACAAGAGCCCCACAAGGAAAATAAGCTCTCACAAATGATGCTATTCCTTCCTTGCATTAGAGTACTTTTGGAGTGTCCAAAGGGCACTGAACTGTAAATCTCAGAAGAGAGCGGGGAGTGTAGAAAGCACTCAAATGACCTATGAGTATCAAGAATACGCCAGTTATCAATTGAGTATAATTGTGGATTCTAACAATAGAAATGATGTAGTATCGGCCAATTCCATCACATGAGTCAATGAAGATTTTTAAAATATCAAGAAATGGTAATATTGAATCACTATTTGTGACTAGAGTCGAATGGTATGGAAAAACAATTGAATAACATAATTGCTGAGAACTTGATGAGGAGTTATTTGAAAAAACTATATGCGAGTCAAATATTTCGAACAATAACTAGTTTGTTTTGGTTGGTTTCCAGATTTTTCCGTGGCCTTCTTTGGTTATAATCTCCAAACGTTTTGATTGCACCTGCGGCAGACACTTTCAGTGGTGTATTCGAAGTACTTTTTTTGACTTGTCAACTGATACTGAAACCCTCATTTCTGCAGTTTCATTTATAGTAACTGATTTTTTGCGCACTTTCTATAATGGCGGGTTCGCACGTACTTTCCACGCGATTTGGGTGATCTCAGATACTCCGTAATTTTCTTCGTTGGTTTGAAAAAGGTGTTAATTGCCTCCTTCTTTAGAAATATCCCGATTTAGTTGGTGACACCTTCTATGTATGGCACATAGACAGTGCCTGAGAGTTGATCTTCTTCTCCCTTGGACGCGTAGCGTGGAATATGTCTTTTCTGTCGTAACCATTCAATTGTGTCACAGCTTGTCGGTGTTTTATTTTGTCATCAAAATACCTTTCTTCACATATTCTCAAAGCTCTGTTCACTAGGGTGTTGATGGTCTAGTTGATTACCATCTTTGATTACTGAAACATTATCGAATGGGATTTGGAGGTTTTCTCCATGGTCAACTGGATTTTTGAATGAAAGCTATTTAGAATGATTTAGGACCAATCAATCATTCAATCAATTTATCCAATTCAGATACATGTTATAATAAAAAAAAAAATAGAACAGAAAGCAATGATCAACCCGCAGAAGGATTAGACCGGACCATCTATATGAGATAAAAAAAGTTTCAGGCATGATTCAGTTAGTTGAATCAAATATCTCTTCTAAGAGATCAAAGTTGTGATCAATGAAGCATCTAATTGTTTTCTTGCGATCATTATTATTTTTTATATTTCTTAGTTCAATGGGTTTGGTACGAAGTAAGTAACAAACCTTTGTGTATATACACACTAATTGTTCTCTCGGATCTGGCTCGGGTGTCGTGTATGTGTGTCAGATGTGTGAGAGGCGAGTTCAACGTCCATAATACACAGTGATAGGTGTATAATTTTGTGATATTGAATAAACTAGCCTCCTTATATAAGCTATCAGTTGGATGTCATCTATCTTTCTTCAATACTATTTTAAGCAATGTGTTTTGTATCACTTGAAGATTATGTAAGTGTGTTTGACAAGTTTCGGAACAATGTAAGTAACAAACCTTCGTGTATATACATTTTTACAAAAAGGAACACTAATTGTTCTCTGGGGTATGGCTCGGGTGTTGTGTATGTGTGTCAGATGTGTGAGAGGCGCGAATTCAACATCCATAGTACACAGTGATAGGTGTATTATTTTCTGATATTGAATAAACTAGCCTCCTTATATAAGCTATCAGATGGATGTGTTCTATCTTTCTTCAATACTATTTTAAGCAATGTGTTTTGAATCACTTGAAGATTATGTAAGTGTTTTTATTCAACCCACCTCAAACCATAATACATTACCTTATAACTGATTCAGCTAATGCATCGCATGTCATCAGTAATGAATGTTCATTTAGTATATTTCTGAGTTGGTAGAATTTAAAAATAAGTTTTCTAAGTATTTTCACGAGAAAATGTACAGGTTTGTTTCAGCGTACAGCTTTGTCACACGCAGATATTTTATTGTATCCATTTTTTTAATACGTGAACAAGAACAAATTATAGGAGTTTGGCAATTGGGAGTATGTATGAAAATGTTTCCCTCTAGTGATTGGTCTCTTACTGTTGATGAGAAGGTTAGTAATTCTGTTTTGTCGATGTTTACACTCAGGAGATTAAAATTCATCCAAGAGATTATAATGTTCAATCCGTTTTGTTCTTTTGCATAAGTAGAGTCCCATGTGTTACCGTGGAAAATCAATGCCGTATCATCGGCAAATGAAACAATATCACCATCAATGTCTTTAAAGTTGTAAATGCTGTTAATATATATTAAGAATAGAACTGGACTAATGACAGTGCCCTGAGGAACACCCATGGCGACTGGATGTGTCTGGCTACAAGTGTCGTTAATTTGGACCTTTTGGATTTAGCCTTGTAAATAATCAGCTAATAGTTCTATAGACTTACCTCTCACTCCCACATTCCCTAACCTCTGTATTAAAATATCATGATTGACAGTGTCGAAAGCTTTGGCCAAATCTGAGAACACCGCTAGACATTTTTTCTCTTCGTCAGCTTTATTCAGTATTTTATTCGCTAAGGAAAAACGGCGTTTTCTGTGGTCATATTTTCTCTGAATCCATATTGGCAAGGTGATAAAATCTTATATTTTTCCAGAAAATTTACAAGTCTATTTTTATGCATTTTTCAAAATGTTTCGCAAAGTTATTAATTTCCGATATAGGTCTATAGTTTGTTACATTTCTTTCTGTATTCAGTTATTTGAGTGGAAAGTTCGATAGATATCAACATATAATGATCAGTAAAGTTTAAGATGAATACTGAAGAGTTGAAACAAAATTTTTCTTTGACACTTTCATTAGACATTTTCATGAAAATATGATCAATCAAAGTCGAAGATGTTTCTGTCACTCTGGTTGGTTTATCAATATAAGAAAGAAATCCTTGATGTGCCATAATACAAATGTCACTGGTATCCAGGATATTGATGTCGATATCGCCTATGAAAATTTTCACGTCGGCACTAGCTTGTTGCGTGAAGTTGTTCTCTAATTCTTGATGAAAATACAATATTGAAGCTAACTAAAATTTCCTTTGGATCCAAGGTGATGCCTTCCAAATATTTGATGAAGTCAGTGGAGTCTCAGACGTATGTCCCAGTCTTCCCAACATGTTTCTGCAGCCTATCCGATAAATTTTTGTTGAAGTTATAGGTTGGTGATCCTATGGCACTTGATATCGGTCTCAGCAGGAAATTTTCTTTGTGAATTTTCGGTGACCCACAGAGTCTCTGCGGTAATGCTACTGATGTGCAAAGATTCTTATTTGTCTCTAATGGTCTGTTTAAATCTGTTCAAAATCTGTTTTTCCGTTAACCAGCTGTCGCACCTTTACGAACGACAACCCTCATAAGTCGAAACTTGTACGAGCTAAGGATTAACGATGTCTCACATTTTAACGTGTGATTCCTCACACGGGTTGGACGATAGCAAGTGAAAATCGATCTTTCAGTCTGGAGCTTGAACCACCGACCAACACGGTGGTCGATTTCAGTCAGTGAATAAAGCACTCACGTCGAACTGACTGACTATGGTAATGAAGATTATTTTATCAGTTGACTGGTCTTTCTCAAGATTTTCTTTGTTGGGTCTTTTTGTAATCATCTGTATGTTTTTTTACTGGCAAAGTTATTGCCTTTGCTTTTGTAGTCCGAAATGTTCAAGACCACAGTTGCGTTTCCTTCGTCAGTTGACAGAATTATGATACTTTCATCAACATTGAGACTTCTTATGACAGCTTTTTCACCTCTTAAAATGTTGCATTTCGGAAGTTTGGATTTTCTCAGATTTCTTGCAGATTCACATATATATTGTGATAAAGTCTATATCGGTCGGACGAAAAGAAGAAATGGTATCCGCCTAGTCAAGCGGAGATTCCGATTGGGACAGACCGACTCAAAGTCTGCAGTCTTTGAACATACACCGCCCAACGGGGACCCAAAGATCCTGTTCCAAAATACCAAGACGCTAGCAACGTCGTATCATTTATTCAACGAGAATGTATTTAGAAACCATAGAAATACAAGAGAACTACAACACCAAGAGAACTACAACAGAAAGAAAGAGAGAACATGCCTACAAAAAATCTGGCACACAGCATTGCACAGCATTGGAAAGCTCCAAAACAAATTCGTCACCCAAATCGTGATGGAAGTACGCGCGAACCCGCAATTACAGAAAGTGCGCGGAAAATCAACACTATAAATGACACGGCAGAAATGAGAGTTTCAGTTCCATGTGACACGTCAAGAAGAGTACTTCTACCATGCCACTGAAGATGACTGCCGCAGTTGCAGCGGAAACGTTTGGAGATTATAACCAAACAAATCAACCAAAACATTAACGCCAGCCGCAGAAGCCCTTTACAAAATATATAATAGTAAATAATAAATCAACTACCTAACTCACGGCGGATTGAAGTAGCGTGACAACAAAATTTGAAGTACTGAGTACATTTTAGTATATTATCCTATTGGAAATTTTGAAAAATACTATATTTTCTATATTCACTTCAAACCGTATCAATTGCGAAACATTATTGAATAAATTCACTAGGTTGCCCCCACTAACGAAGGCAGAACCCTACCTACCTTTTCCCTGAGCGTTTGGTGGTATTTTTCAACACACATATTGAGGTACATGAAAATTAGTATTCAGATTTGTAATATGTTTGTTTCCGTTAACCTGCCATCGCTCTCTTATAAAAGACAACCCTCAGAAGTTCTAATACAATTTATCAAAATGAAAACGTAAATACATATTTCTGAAGTCATTTCTCAACTCTTTATGTTGAGAAATGAAGGTTGTATAGGAAAAGTTGAAGGCTCAAAACTACTACAAGCTACTTACAAAAATAAATGATATCCCACATGAAAAATTGTATTGTGAACTATTGCTTCGTCGTTTCTCTACTGCAGGAATTATTGGCATGAAATCAGTGAATTATGAATGGATTTCTCACCAAAACTCCCTACTTTGAAATTTTATATATAGACCTGTATGTATTTTCTGTAGTCATTTGTTATTTGTAAAGTTTACATTAATTCTTCGAATAAAGTGACTACTGTGATTATATGTCCATTTGACAATATTTATGAAATATTTTTTTATAGCTCAAACGTTATCTTCTTTCGGAGGAAGTTTTGGTGATCTGAGCAGTCTATATGGGATTGAAGACTTCAGTGGTCTGTACGGAATAAACGATATCTACGGTGTGAACGGTATATATGGTACAAACAATATCTTCGGTATAAACGGTATTTATGGTAATCCGATCGGTGGTACATTCGACTCATCCATTTTCGAAATCAGCACCAATCCACCGCAAATCAATTTTGAGCATCATGAGACCACCACTTCACCTGGAGTGGTGGATCACGAAAATGAGTCTGTATCAGTGGAAGCAAGAAGCGGAGATTTGAAATCTACAGAGAAGCCAATTTACTCCACAACAAGTAAACCCCTTGGAGAGAGTCGATCTGAAGAGTCACCTCATCTAGATCAATTTTCTGAGAAAGAAGACAAAGATGAGATTCCACTCATAGAAAACAATTCAATTTCAAGTTCAACTACTGGAAAATCAATTGATTAGGAGAATAATGATGAAAATCGCTAGCTGTTGAATAGACTAAGATTTCAATATATCAGAAGAATAATATATATTAATTCAACAAATTATATGCACCGTTGAAATATTTAATATATTCGTTCCATCAGAATGATTGATTCAGAAAGGGTATTCCATTAAAAGTTGCTGAAAAAATAATGTAACATGCTTTCTGAACTTTTGGCGAATATCATGCACAGTAAAATTCATTAGCTCAAATCCTGAAAAGTATCTTTGGTTGATCATCAGAACGGAAGTGTACCTACTCTTATGAATATTTCAGTATTTCCATAAAATTTATTATCATCTTCAAGGAAAAGTTACAAGAAGTTATATGATAACAGTAATTTTCTTTTATTTATTTCATACACTATTCTACAGGATGAACCCAATTACAGATACGGAGAAAGAGTGGCATTTACAAATATGTACTTCCATAATATAATTTGTGAATTTTTATTAAAAACATTAAAAACGGAGTGTTGAGATGAAAGGCGAAACTATTCCTAGATGACCGTCTAGAAACCCAAAAATTCAACAAAGAATTGAGGGCAGGTAATGATATTGCTTATAACCTTGACTAAAAAAAGAAATGAATGATATTCACGCCTTACCTCGAGACTACAAAAATTGAGTGTTTCAAGTAATTTATGATAGGGTATCCCTACAGTAGGATACGTGGCTTCAAGTTTAAAAGACATATATTTCAGAAAGCGCCTCTGTAGAGCTTCTAGTTGATTTATATGTACCTGATAGTAGAGACTCCACACAACAGATGCACATTCCAGCCTAGATCTAACAAACGTGAAATTAAGTAATTTCAATGTTGAAGCTTTTTTCGAAGTCTTTTGTATTTCCTACTAAGAATCCATACATGCGATAATCAGAATAGTGTCAATATGTTTATTGACACTACTCACCTAGATCAGTGAGTGTGTCAGGACGTTCCATAACTTGATTGTTTATGACGTAGTTGTGTAATGTCAGATTCGTTTTCAGTGAGTAAGATATTACATCACATTTAGATATGTTGAGAGATGGATTATTCTTCCGACACCATGTAGCAACACGATTTAAATTCAGGGCAAGACGTTCGCAATCATTAGACCATGTTATATTGTGATAGAATTTCAAGTAATCTGCGTATAAAGGGAAATTGACATCAATCTGAGCTCCGATATCATTGACAAACATATCGAACAGTAGGAGTCCTAGGTTTCACCCTTGTGTCACATCAGAAGTGGCTACATATTCAACAGATTTGAGGCCATTGAGTTAGACATACTGCTTACGGTTGTAAAAATACAATTTGACGAAAGTAATTGAGTCATTGGATAACCCAAAATTCGAAAGCTTGTTGAACAGGATACTATAGTCAAATCTGTCGAACACTTTAGAAAAATCAGTGTAGATGACATCAGTCTAAGACTGACAATCAATACCCTCCGTAATATAGTGAGTGATTGTGATTTTTTTTATATGTGCTAAAAGTTAAAATTTATTGTGGCTGAGGATGACGGTGTCAAAAAGATGTGAAAACTGGAATTCTCACTGATGCCAGAGAATTAATTGAAATTTCGATTTTGTTTTAATTTATAATTTACCAGTAGAAGACCATGTGCTTGGTACCAAAAAGAGAAAGAGAGAAGAAACGAGACAATTACATGAGTCATGGACTTCAGTTTGAGTATATGTTGTTTGTTTTTTTGTCTATGTTGGAACTATGGAACAATTGGAACAGTTCTGATGCAAGAGTGATGATACGTATGCTGTTAATGTATGAATGACAATAAAAAATCTCAATGTCAACTGTATGCAAATTTAAATTAGATCAATAGAAATTTATGAATATTTTCATCACTGTCGAGCAAAAATATAAAAATTTCACAGAGGTGTTTGATATGAGGCAGTTTCCTAATAGTAATATAAATGACATTTTCAGAAACTTCCTTTGAATACACGATTACTGAAAACACATCTCCCAGAATGTAATGTACTATCACTCTTGTGAGAACTGATCCTACTTCTAAGTGATCGTGATATTTGAATGATATATCCACTTCCACAATTTATTCATGGAATTGGGTAGAGTGATTCTAATTGAAAATTCATAGAAGTTTCATCTTTCACATTCAAAATTTGGAAAATTCTCCTCAACTTAGGCGTTACATCATTGATAGAACAAAATATGATGTGGAGATCTAGGTTCTACTCAAACTGAACGTGTCATCCTGTTGTATGTCCTTTTATACGGTCCAAATGCCTCAATTCAGGTACTCCAGGTACTTTAGGTAAATTTGCCTGTATTTTGATTACATCGGGTACTATTCTTTGTGTTGGATCTTCTCTAGGTTTACTGTTTCTAGGAGTGTGAATTGATTTGTTTAAAATATTGAATGTTAAGTCTTGTTGTAAATTTGATTTTGATTTGTACTTGTTCCTCGATGAGTGATTTATGACTGTTAAATTCATGGATGTTAAAGTTTTCCCAAATGTCCATGCGGTTTCCCTTATTGACTTGTTTATGTTCTCTGGTGGGGGGAAATTATGTTTGTGTTGCGAGGTTTGATTTATAAACTATTGGGTTAATGTATGCCTTTTTGTGCTCATCGTACCTTTGGATCAGTTTTTTCTTGGTTTGGCCTATATAGAATTTGTTGCAGTCCGAGCATTGTAAACTGTATATCCCGTTTTGGTGTTTGTCTTCTTCTTTTCCATAGTTATTTATTTTTTGTGTTATTTTCGTGTTTGGCTTGTATGTGATATTGATGTTCAGTGTCTTGAAGACGTTTGTTAGCTTTTTGGTTTGGTGTTCTACGTAGGTAAATGATGTCCATCGCTGTATTGTTTTCTCTGTTGGGTTGGCTTGATCCTTGTTCTGTATTTTTTGTTTGATTATGTTTTCTAATTCACCTATCATCTTTTGGGTGTATCCGTTCTCGTTCGCTATTTGGTACCTATATGATTTTTCGTTCTTTGTTTCGGGCTTCATTGCTGAGTGGTATCCTTAACATTTCATATATGAATGCTATAGGCAGCCATTTTGTGAGATGTTAGGTGGTTTGAACTTGCGGGTATGGTGGAGCTTGTTTTTGTAGGTTTCCTTTATATTGCCATTTGAAATTGTGTTTTGTTGTGGTTATATCCGATGGTTATGTCCAGGTAGTTGAGTTTTGAGTTGTGCTCTTCATCAATGCTGAAGAATAGTTTTTGATTTATTCCGTTAATTTCTTTTGTTATTTGATCTATTCTTATTCCATTGATTTGTGATATGTACAGTCCATCGTTAACGTATCTGAACCATTCTCCTTTTCCATCATGTGTTTTTATTATTGTTAAGATTTTCATTACTATGCTTTGCAGGTATATTTCGGATATAATGCTAGATAGTGGGGATCCCATCGCTAGTCCATCTGTTTGTTTATAAATTTTTCCTTCATATTCGAAATAATTTTGTGTGAGTTTTGTATTTAGATTGTGTTCCATTTGGTTAATGTATGTTTTGTCTGTGTTTTGCTGTTTTAGTTTATCAGATATGATGTTTATACTTTCGTTGACTGGTATGTCGAATGAGAATAGTTTAGTGTTCGGGCTGACCTTTGTCGATAAGATTCTGTCTGTGAGTTCCATTGAATTTTTGACGCTGTGCTTGTTGTTCATGTTGATTTTGTTATTCAGTTCATCGGCTATGATTTTTGAAATTTGGTATGAAGGTGCTTTGGTAAAATTGATAACCGGTCTTATAGGTTTATTTTCCTTATGTATCTTTATCTGTGCGTTGAGTTTTGGTGCTTTTGGGTTGTCGACTGTGTATCTGTTCAATGTTTTGTTGTTAAAGATCTGTTCGTTGGATTATATCAGGCTATTGATTTGTCTTTCAAATTTTGTGGTTGGGTACTAGAATCGTACTAGAATCGTTTTCCGTTATGTAATTGTTCACTGTTATACTTAATTCCTGTTTTTCAATAATAACTATGGAACGCCGTTTTACTTTTTATTGTCACAAAAATTCATTCCTCAATTTTTTCAACTAATAATTTAGTTGTTTGAATTTAATTGATTCATGCATTTGTTCGACACATTAAAAAGGATTGTTTGCAAAATTTATTCTATTTTAAATGACACTTGATGAAACAATATTGTGTCAGAGTATTGGAAAATGGAACGCCAATTTACTATATATTATGCTGAAAAATAATCTATATACATATAGTTCAAGTCAGCAATGAACAAACATTTTTATTCAACAATCAATGGAATGTATTATTCGAGTCAATTCAACAAACGTTTCAATTCCACATGTAATTTTGACCTTCGAATAAAATGTTAGTTATTTATATGACTGTTGAATTAAAATGAAACTTTAAATTCACTTTCTAAAAGTAAGTTTGGGAATGAAATTTCAATGAATATATTTGAATGACTGTCAAAGTTTTACCATGTTTTACATTGTTGGTAATAAAAATAGACTTTCGTTTGTCTGAAAATATAGCAAATTAACTTTCCATACTAAATATTTTTCTATGACTACTAAAGATTGTTATATTTCAATTTTATTGAAAGTGTTGAATATTTCCAACATTCACGGCGTGGCTCGCTGTTTTACTTTCTATTGGTATTTTGTAAAAATGAATTGTTTTGACTGTTGCATTTAGGTGATACATGAATTAAATTGATAGTTGATAATGTTCATTCGTCGCTGCGGTCCAACGGATTATTACCATACTATGACCAACGCCATGTATATATGCAGTTGAGTAGTTCCATAAAAATACGCCCGACGTCAGCGCCGAATAAAAATGATCATTAATCAATTCAATTCATGTATCACTGAAATTCAACAAACAAAATAATTCATCTTCTTTCAAATGAATATTAATAAAATTCTTTCAGGAAAGAATTGAATTAGTTTTTTGATAATTTTTATTCGGCGCTGCGGTCGAACGGATTATGGTCATACTAGTTCCTCTTACAGTTTTCTTGCTTGGAGTCTGTAAAATGTCACCAAGTTGTCGTTAGTGTTACTATTCTGTGGTTAGTGTCTTGTTTGATTGTATATAGATGGCAAATGTTATGCGACAGTTGAGAAACACATTGTAGACTGTGTCTAACGTAAGATGTCTAGACATCTTAGTCTAACGTAAGCACAGCTTATAGTTCAGAGTTGCCAACCGTGGCGGAAAACCGCTACCGTAGCGGAATTTACTCGACGGTAGCGGCGTTGCGGATTTGAACATAAAGTAGCTGATTTTCTACAAATAATCAATATTGAAAAAAATATGGGAGAAGAAGAGGCAGTGGAAGCTGACAAATGACAATTGTATAACTGAATGCAGTCAATACGTTA